GTGTAGCAAGTGTCTGTTGCAAGCACTGGGGACCTTTTCCTTAGGGGAAGGGTTGACATTTGTGGTCGTGCAGGGGCTGCAACAATTAAAGTTTCTTAATTGGGCTAACTGCCAACTCTAATCAACATGATTTCTTTTAAAAGGGATTCATGTGGGCTGGTGATATAGCTCAGTTGGAAGAGTGCTTGCCTTGCATGCATAAGGCCCTGGGTTTGATCCTCAGCACAATAAAAAAATAAATAAAATGGAGTAACTTAGGCTAAGTTCTTCAGATTCTGCTTCTAACCTATGACTATGCTAGCTTAACGTTACTTGTCCTATAATTCTACCTTGTATTATTATCTTTTTTTAAAGAGAGAGAGAGAGAGAGAATTTTAATATTTATTTTTCAGTTTTCGGCGGACACAACATCTTTGTTTGTATGTGGTGCTGAGGATCGAACTCGGGCCGCACGCATGCCAGCGCGCTACTGCTTGAGCCACATCCCAGCACTCTGCCTTGTATTATTGATTTGTATCCTAGAGAGTGCTGACCAGCTAAGCTTGGCTATAACAGCACCCACTACGGTCCTTCCCAGGCAGGTCTGTGGCGCTTCTCTGGGGTTCCCAGCTCAGGTCTCTCCAGAAGTAAAATGGCAATCTGCTTCCTCTCCTGCCTCTCTCCTCCGGCACCAAGACACATGACCCTCCCAGTTTAAGTAACTGGACCCATTTGCCCACCTCCATGATGGCCCTCAGGAGCCTGCTCAGACCCTTCATCGGCCAGCTGTGGGATCACTTATCTCTGCCCCCAGACCCAGAGGCTGGGGGAGCTGCAGGGATGGGGCTTTCATGGGCAGCCTAATAATTAGGAGAGGGTCTGGAATTCACTGGGGAATTGTGGGGATAGCCAGCCTGCTGAGGGGGAGGGCCCCTTAGAGACCAGGAGCAGGACAGCGGGGATGGAAGGACAGGGAGGCTGAGGGAGGCAGGCAGAGATGGAGTCTGACAAGACAGACAAAGCACGGGGCTGAGACTAACAGGCAGATAGGAGGAAGGACAGGCAGAGCCTACAGCTGAGACACTGACCGTTGGAGGCTCAGAAGTTCTGGTGTTCTTTCCCATGAGCCCATTCTGAGCTCGTGCCACAAACATCTTTGCAAGCAGAGGTTCTCAAATGGACAATGTGTCAGAACCCAGAGGGTTTCTAACACAACAGGTGCCTGAGCCCAGCAACCAAGAGGTTTGGGATTTTTCAGTTAACTGATTATTTTTTTACTATGGGAAAATTGCATAATATACATAAATAATAGTACATAAAATTTAACATTTTAACTTAAAATTTCTTTTTTAATTTTTGATACTGACGATTGAAGCCTGGGGCACTTAACCACTGAGCCACATCCCCAGCCCCCCTTTTTAAAAATATTATTTTTTACTTGTTGATATACTGCCGGGTTTCTGTTCTCGTGACTAAAAGGCTCAGGGGTCACTCCAGTCAAACTGGGCTAACTGGGCTGCACAAAAAACCACATAAGAGACACAAATACCTTTTTCTTTGGGGTCACTGTGACGGCTTCTCTGACCTTAAGGGTCCACAGAAAGAGAGAGAGCGAGAGCACGTGCTGACCCCTTTTATTGAGGAGAAGTTATTTAAATGAGGCAAGGGGTCAGGTTTCAGGGGGCTGAGTATCTTCATGATGTCCACTGTCAGCAGGTTGACTGACACCTGGGTAGGCCACACCCAAGGGCACAGTAAGAGGAGGGGACTCACACAAGGCACTTCCATGGAAGATTCTATCCTAAACAGGACAGGGGTTATATTACAAAGGAACAGGTGAGCGTTGCTTCACCCCTGGGGCTGTAGCAAGACACACCCATGCACCAGACACTGACCCTCGAACCCAAGAAGGGTGGGGAAAGCTCTGCCACATTTCTGTGACTGAGCATCTCAGCACCCAGCCGGGGAGTGTGACTCAGTCATGTGCAAGGTTGGTCTCCCACAATATACCTTTATTTTATTTATTTGTATGTGGTGCTGGGAATCAAACCCAGTGCCTCACACATGCCAGGAAAGTGCACTACCACTGAGCCACAGCCCCAGCCCCTCCTCTGCCCTTTTTTAAAAAAATTTATTTAGTGATTGGGTCTTTCTGAGTTGCCTCGCTAAGTTACTAAGGCTGGCTTTGAACTCGTGATCCTACTGCCTCGGTCTCCTGAGCTGCAGGAATTACATGTGGGCACCACAGCACCCAGCCATTTTAACCATTTATCATGTGCAGTGTAGTGGCATTTGGTACACTCACCAGGTTGTCAACCATCTTCTCTAGTTCTAGAACACTTTCATCCCCTTAAAGGAAACCTCATAGCCATTAGGCAGTCACTCCCTGTACTGCATTGAATTGTGTCCCCCAAACAATATATTTAAGTCTTTACCCAACGTACCTGAGTATGTGATCTTCTGTGGAAATAGAAACACTGGAGATGTCATCAAGTGACAGCAAGGCACTCTGGTTTAGGTTGAGCTCTAACCCAGTGAGCGGCATCCTCACTAGAAAAAGGAAATTTTGCTGGGCATAGTGGTGCTCACCTGTAATCCCAGCAACTTGAGAGGCTGAGACAGGAGGACTGCAGGTTCGAGGTCAGCCTCAGCAACTTAGTGAAGCCTTGTCTCAAAATAAAATAAAAAGGGGCTGGGGATACAACTCATCAGGAGAGTGCTTGCCAAGCATGCACAGGGCCCTGGGTTCCACCTCCCAGTACTGCAAAAAATAAAGGAAGAAGAAATTTTCATGCAGGCACAGGTGCACACATGGAGGGAAGCCACATGACATGGAGGCGTGGTTCATCTACACGCCAAGGAATGCCCAGGCTTGCAGGTCCTACCAGAAGCTGCAAGAGGCAAAGAAGGATCTTCCCCCTGGAGACTCCTGAGAAGGCACTGCCTGGCAGACACCTTGATTGGGGGTTTCTAATATCTAGAACCATGGAAGAACAGGTCTGTGTGATTTAAGCTTGCAGTGCTGTGTGGCTTCTCTAGGAGTGGACATTACCCTTTCCACTGTCCCACTGCAACTGCAACTTCCATCTCTGAGTTCTCTATTCCCAGAATTGTTGTTATTATTATTATTATTATTTAATTTTTAAATTTTTTTTTGGTATGGAGATTGAACCCAGGAGTGCTCTACCACTGAGCCACATCCCCAGCCCTTTTTTATATTTTATTTAGAGACAGGGTCTCTCTGAGTTGCTTAGGGCCTTCCTAAATTGCTGAGGCTGGCTTTGAACACATGATCCTCTGCCTCAACCTCTCCGAGCTGCTGGAATCTCAAGCGTGCACCACGGTCGGTGCCTGGCTCAGGATTTTTGATCCAGTAGGCCCAGCACCTGCATTTCTAAGACATTTCCAGGTGACAATGACCCACCCCGGGATCCCAGCCTTCCCAGGCCATTTCCTGTCAGTATCAACACGCCAGATCTTGCAGCGTGTTCGCTGCTTGCTGTGTCTCTCACCCATCACTGTGTCGTCTCATCCTGTGAAACCTGCTGGGAGCTGACAGGGGTATGGGTCTGGAAGTGGTGAGAGCTGCAAGCTGAGCTCTCCAGGCAAGGGGGGAATAATGTGTCCAGATGAGAGAAGGGGACTCCTCCTTCTGGAAAGGAGGCCCAAGAGTCCAGGGTCCTTGGATATGGAGCCCCGTGCCCAAATACCCTCCTAACTGCCCTCTCCTGGACTCTGTCTTCTCCCATCTTGGAGTCTCTGTTCTTCCCTCTCTGGGTCTCCAGCTCTCTCTCTCTGGGCCTCTGTGGGTCTCCATCACACAGTCCCTTCCTCCAGTCCCTCCTCCTTGGCTTCTGGCCTCTGACCTCTGTTCTCTGAGCCTCCACCCAGACATGGTGTGTGGGTGGGAAGGTGGCCGGGTGATGGCTAGTGCTTCTTCCAGCTCCTCACCACTCCAGGGTGACTTTCCTTTTCTTGTCAAGATAAGGGGTCTCTTCTGGCGAGGAGCCCGCCCCTCAGGTGAGGCACCTTGGGATCTGAGTCACTCCTTCCCGGGAGCAATGTTGCCTTCACGGTTCTCTTTCCTTGATGGAGCCGGCCTTGTTCCATCAGAGGGGAAAACTGCCTTTTCTACCGGACGTTGACTTTCTTCTGGGTATCAGGTCCCACCTGAAACCCTCAGGGACTATTTGTCACTTGACAGCAATATTTCTGTCGACTGAACCTTGGAGTTAGGGTCAAGAGCCTCAGACTGCAACTTCTATGAGGCTGGTCTGTCCGACACCTGGGACAGGCAGGGACGAGCTTGATCCTGAGAGCTGTAGTCTAACACCCTTGCCTCACATCCTCCCTGGCCTGGAAATGACGAAGAACATGAAGATCTACATTGTAGGAGGGGAGGAGACTAGACAAGCATTTTCGGGATTGGATATTCTCCAAAGTCCTCAAGTGTCTGGGTGGACAGTTTCTGACCCTTTTCCTGAGACCTTGGACTCCCAGTCTCCAGCCCCTCCTCCCTCACACCACTGTGTCTAGGTTCCTATTCCCCTGTCCCTCTGGGACCCAGGTATCTAGATGTCCAGCTCGGCAATCCTTCAGGACTCCAGTGTTATCCTAGCAGCAAATGTATCCCCCTCCCCAAGATCCAGGAGCCCCTGCCCCACTCAGCTCTGAGGACAAAGAATCTCCCCATTCCTACTTCCAAGGAACTACATTTCCCATGAGGCTGTGGGGCTACAGTGTGGATTTTTTTTTTTAAGTCCCCCATTATTATGTTACCTCAGAGAATTAGTTCCATAATGTTAACAAGGATGGGGGCAGGGGTGGATAAGAATTCCTGTCCTGTCAGAGAGTAGGAATAGTCCTGGGGACCCTTGGGATACCTTGCCAGAACAGAAAAATAAGGACCAATGGTAGACTGGGGCCTTAAGGCAATGGGGACAGACATGTGGACTGATCTCAGGGTCAACAGAGACAAGACACAGATCCCATTTCCTCTCTCAAACACACATACTCATTAGATACTCCTCTCTCAGACTCTTTATTATCCCAAGATAGAAAAAAATAAAAAAATAAATAAGATAAATACCCCAATAAATAAGAGGAGACCCCAAAATGAAGGGCCCATGGCTTCAGGAAGCGTAACTGGGGCTTCGGCCCTGCAAAGGCCCCACCATGCTGAGTGGGTCGGAGGAACCCACATCAGGGGGCTCAGGGACCAGGATCCCTGGTGGCTCCAGGGCTGCTGGGGGCAGGCCTGGCAGTGGGAGGAAGCGGGCTGGTCCTCGCGGCACTGGGTCCCGGTATGGTGAGTTAGGGGGCAGGCGCACAGGGAGGCCGTGGGATTCTGACTGGTAAACATTGTACCCGTCCTCCAGAAGCTGCTCCCGGAAGCTGCAGGCCTCAGGGTCAAAGTGGAGCTGAGGGACAGAGAACAGGGTTCAGAGACCTAAGTCTGCTAGAACTCAGGAGTCCAGGCCCCAGCCCTCTTCCCTCAGACCCAGGGTCCAGACACAGCCCTCTTCCCAGACCCAGAAGCTCAGGCCCCAGGTGTCCCGCCTCAGACCCAGGGACCCAGGGGTCCAGGTCCCCAGTCTCCCTTAGGAAACAGAACACTACAAGCAAATTCCTCCTTTACCCCAGGGCAGTTGCAGAGATCACCTCCCTGTTCTTACTTCACAGAGAACATTCTAGCCTGGTACCAGTCATGGCTTTCTAAGGCCAGGTAGGGGGTCTGGGTACTGCCTAAAGGTCATGTTCAGTGTGAGCCACGGATTCCTGGAATGTCCCTCCCCATGTTCAGGATGAGCGAGGCATGCAGGAGCCGCATGGCCAGGAGCAGGGGTTATAGTTCTGAGACTCAGCCTCTCAGGCCATTCTGCCATTCACACATGACATAAGGCCAGTGGTGACTGCCTGCGCCTCATTTTACAAACATTGGTAACAACTGTCTCAGCCTGCAGGGGTTGCAGTCAGGTTGTCAGTGTAGACAGCATGGGACGGAGGCCAGCTTGGGTCAAGTGTGCAAGAAAGGATACCCAGATTGTGAAGATGATACCATGAAGGTTGGTACCCCAAAACTGGGAAACTCACCGATCCATATAGAACTCCATCTGGCCTCTGGCACAGGAACCTGGATGTTTTGACCCCCAAGATTTGAATGACCCCAGGCTTCAAGGCTTTCAGCTCCAGGAGACCTGGGGGACAAAGTGGTTAGACATTTGGAACTGCCTCTCCCAGGCCCCACAGCCTCCTCCCTTAGGAATCATCCACCCCACACTCACTTTCCGGGCTTTGATGGGCAGCCCCCACCACGGTGCCATCAGCCCTGATCTCCAGGTGGGCCTCAGTCTCCTGGGCATCATCTGTGTACAGGTACCGCTGCCGGACTTGGCCCCCAAATTGGAGGAGGGGGCTTGAGTCAGGGATGGGGTATGCCTGGCAGGCTCCCAGCACAAGGGCAGCCAGCACAAGGACCCACAGTCCCAGGGGCTCAAACTTGGCCTTGTCCCAGTCCATCAACGTGTCTTTGTCCTCAGGCAGGGTCCAGAGTGCGGGGTCTGGAGTATGGGGTCCGAGGAGGTGAGCAGTCCTGAATCAATTCCAGCTGTGCTTGTCCGGGACAGCACAGCACGGCTGTGGCTCAGATCATCCAGGAGCTTGAGTCCTCCTACCTGTGGATCCCCAGCTGACAGGACACCCAGGACTCTTGGGATGGATGCAGAAGCTCCAGAATTTATACCCAGACAGACCCGCCCTCTTGCCCTCCCCACTCCGACACATGATATTTGACCCATTTGGCAGAAGCCAGAATTCCACCGTGGCCAGGGCAGTCTAGATGGATGATGCAATGATGGGGGGGTCCTTTGAGCTGGGGGCCTGGACCCCTGGGTCTGGGGGCTGAGGAAGATGAAGACCTGATCAACTGGGACTAGTTGAAAGGAGCCAAGGGCTAAGATTCCTGGTTTTGGGGAAGGAGGATCCTTGTGCTCAAACTTCTGGGTCTGAGGGAGGAGGTCTGGGAATTGGACCCCTGTGCGAGGGAGGAGGCTTGAGGCCAGGTCCCCTGGATCTGAAGGGTGAGTTCTGGGGCCTTGACCTCTGGGTCTGAGGGTGGAGGACTGGAGCCTGGACCCTTGGGTCTGAGGGAGGAGGCCTGGGGTCCGGACCCTGGGTCTGAGGGAAGTGGGGTACAGATCCTGGAAACTGCTTTCCTGACTTTCAATGTAGACTTTTGTTGTTGGTGGTGGTGCACGCATGAAATTTATATCCCTTTCCAATTTCTAGGTTTCTGGGTATTGAGGGGTCTGACCCTTTCCTTAACCATCAGGAAGCTGAGACCACGTGAAAGAAGTGTCCCTAGCAGGTGTCCTGGCTTGGAAACCTCACTCCAGGCCATGGATCAATTTCACCCTCTTCAACCCCTGCTCAGTGGCCTGTCCTGATGCAATCCTGGTGTTTCTTTCACCAGAGCAGCTACTCTGGGCCCAGACAGGTGCTACCAAAATAGACTGGGGGAGGGGATGGTGAGAATCCGACCCTGCTAACCAGGCCCTGGAGGGAGAAGTGAGATCCAGAGGGGTTGAGTAACTTCCTGGGACCCCTAAAGTGCAGGGGCTGGATTCCTGGGTTGGAGGGAGGAGGGCCTGGGAGTCTTCAGTTTTAAGAAATAATAGTCAAATCTCTGGTGAGTCAAGTCAAACGCCTGTGTCTTTGAACAGGCTTTATGTGTAATGACAAGGGTCTGGGTGCTCAGGGCCAGGGCAGTGGGGCCTTGGATCGACCTTGGACAACAGAAACAAGAAACGGGTTCTGGTGGGCAGGAGCTCAGAGCCTTTGTCCCTGGCGCCAGGTGCAGACCCTGGGTTGGAGGCCAGGGAGACGAGCCCTCTTGTCCCTGGATTTTCAGTTTGCAGGAAAGGTTGCCTTCGCGGAAAACCCGTCTAGAAAGCAGCAGTTGATCGCCAGGCCCTGAACTCCTCCAAAGGAGGAACTGGGGCGGGGGCGGGGGGTGAATCGGAATGGAGAACCGTGGAAGGCTCGAGTCAGCTTCTGGCGGGAGGCCCTCACTCCAGGGCTGGAAGGGCGGGCAGAGGCTTTGCATTCTCTTGCGCTCCGGCGGCTGCTGGGCAAACAGGTTCTCCATCCCTTAGGGAGGGCGCGGCAGGGGCGGAGGATGTCCCACCCGACGGGACCAGGTGTGCGGGCCCTGCACAGCGGCTGGGGCGTGGCCGCGCTCGGTGCTCGCCGCGCTGGAAGCAGACCGTAAGCCCCGGCACGGTTGGGAGCTCGCCGGACTGGAACTCCCGGGTCCCGCTTAGAGGCAGGGATCCAGTTCACGCAAGATGCGGCTGTTGCCCGGGCTCCGGCAGAAAGCCGCGAGCCAGGGGCTGGGGCGCGGCGCTCACCTCGCCTGGTAAGAGGAGGGGCCCGGGCACCTCCCGAGCCCGCCGCGCCCAGGACCCGCGCCAGGTAAGGGGCGGGGCTCCTCCCGCCTGCTACCTGCCCGGCTCCGGAGGGAGGGCGGAGGCTTCGAGCCTTAGAAACTCGCTCCTCTCCTTTCTCCCCACCCCAGCCTCGCGGCCTGTCCCGGGAGGCGGCTTGGAGGGGAGGGTCGCGGGGAGGTGGAATGAGGGCTGCATTTTTTGGACTGCGCGCTGCGGCCACGCGGAGCCATCGGTAGACCGGCCACTGCGAGGACCTCAGGTTAGTGGACAGGGCGGATGCGGGAGCCCCAGAAACCCCGGCCTTCAAGCCGCTCCTCCTTCGGACCGGGAGGCCATCCCCGACCTCTCACCACCGAGATCCCAGGAGTCTCCTCCTCACCTGCTTCTACAGGCACTAAGATCTCTCTCTCTCTCAGTCCACACCTCCAGCCACTCGTGTTCCATTCCAACTGTCGCTTCCCATCACCTCAGAGGTGGAGTGGACCCTTCAAAGACTGCTACATCTGAGAAGGGAGTTTGTGATCCCCAGCCCCTTTTTATTGTATTTATTTATTTTATTTTATTTTATTTTTTTTAAAGAAAGAGTGAGAGAGAGATTGAGAGAGAGAATTTTTTTTAATATTTATTTTTTAGTTTTCGGCAGACACAACATCCTTGTTTGTATGTGGTGCTGAGGATCGAACCCGGGCCGCACTCATGCCAGGCGAGCGCGCTACCGCTTGAGCCACATCCCCAGCCCATATTTATTTATTTTTGAAGCAGGGTCTCCCTAAGTTGCTGAGGCTGGCCTGGTAATTGGCATCCTCCTGCTTCAGCCTCCCAAGTCACCAGCACAGGAATTACAGATGTGCACCGCTGAGCCCACCATCCCCCCTGGAGATTCCAAGCTTCTCATCACTCCAACCTAGGATCAGCGCCCAGCCACTTCCTAAGACCCAGAAGCCCACATTTTTAGCTTCCACGTTGTCTGGGACCAGGAGTCCCTCACCCCAGGCCTCTCCTCCCTGACCTTCCTGGAATTCACCTAAATTCACCTTTCCTCCTCTGCAGCCATGTGGGCCCCCAGCCGCCACCAGCTCTGCCTGGCCTTCCTGCTTGTCTGTGTCCTTTCAGCAATAACCTTTCTCCACTTCCACCAAGACCTCTTTCAACATGGCCTCCGCCTGTCTGTCCTTTGTCCAGACAGCCATGTGCTGAGAGCCCCAGTGGCCATCATCTGCCTGGCTGATAAACAGCTCACCCAAAACACCTCCTCCTCTTGTCTTCAGAATGCTGACCCTGTCTCAGGAACCTGGACTATCCACCCAGATGGCCGGTTGGGTAACCAGATGGGGCAGTATGCGACACTGCTTGCCCTGGCCCAGCTCAATGGCCGCCGTGCCTTCATCTTGCCAGCCATGCATGCCACCCTGGCCCCAGTGTTCCGCATCACACTACCCGTGCTGACATCCGAGGTAGACAGTCGGACACCCTGGCAGAAGTTGCAGCTGCATGACTGGATGTCAGAGGAGTATTTCTGCTTGAAGGATCCATTTCTGAAGCTGTCTGGTTTTCCCTGCTCTTGGACATTTTTCCATCACCTTCGGGAACAAATCCGCAGGGAATTCACCGTTCATGACCATCTTCGTGATGAGGCCCAGCACTTGCTGAGTCAGTTTCGCCTGGGCCACACTGGGGCCCGGCCTCGAACCTTTGTGGGTGTCCATGTGCGCCGTGGGGACTATCTGCAGGTGATGCCCCAGCGCTGGAAGGGTGTGGTGGGTGACCGTGTCTATCTCCAGCAGGCTATGGACTGGTTCCGGGCCCGGCATGAAGCCCCCATCTTTGTGGTCACCAGCAATGGCATGAAGTGGTGCTGGGAAAATATTGACATCTCTCGGGGTGATGTGGTCTTTGCTGGTGATGGGCAGGAGGGCTCACCAGGGAAGGACTTTGCCCTGCTCACTCAGTGCAACCACACTATCATGACCATTGGCACCTTTGGCTTCTGGGCTGCCTACCTGGCTGGTGGAGACACTGTCTACCTTGCCAACTTCACTCTGCCAGACTCAGAGTTCCTGAAGGTCTTCAAGCCTGAGGCTGCCTTCCTACCTGAGTGGGTGGGCATTAATGCAGACTTGTCTCCAGTGCAGACAGGGGCTGGGCCTTGGAAGCCAGGGAGACTTTTGGGACTGGTCTCATCAGGCTAGAGTCAGACAGACATGTCTCCAGAGGCCTGGCAGCTTCTGGAGAAGTCAGGGGTGGTCCCAGAGCAGGTGGTGCCCATGGCCAGAGAGATTCTAGTTGGCCAGAGGTGGAAAGAAATAGGGTCTTCCTGGAGCTGCCTGAACACCTACAACCAGCAGAACATCTTTTCTGATGGCTGGCAATGCCCAGTGAAGCTCATGGTGGCTCCAGAAGCCACAGTGCCCACCTGATCATCATTTCTATAGTATTTCTGCATGGCAGCCCCTGAGAACAGGGAACCCTGCCTTCTAGAGTCCACTCTGCTGGTCTTTTCTAGCAGAGGTGTTACTTCTGCCCTGGGTGTTCAAAACAGTGAAGGAACAAACTCATGGTTGATCTAGAGCAAGCCCTCGTTAACTCTCCTTCAGAGTTTCTGGAGTGATTCAAGAAGGGAGTTTTCCTAGGGAGGGCCAGGTTTAATGCTTTTGAAGAACAATGTGGGGACTGGGGTACAGGTTCCAGAATTCTACATAAGTATGGCAAAGAATATGATGAAGGAACTACCAGAAACTCAACACCCCGCCACTGCCAGAAAGATCAAGACCTGGGAGACTGCCTCTAGTGAGCCAGTGTCTTCTTGTGTGTGTACTGAGGATTGAACCCAGTTGAACCAAGGTGTGGCCCATGCTGGGGCCGTGGTGACCAGACCACAGTCTGTCCAAACCATTGGCCCCTGAGGAAAGTCTCAAAGGATTATTTTTTTCATCCTTTTTTTTTTTTTTCTTAGAGTAGATATGGGAGAGTGGAGAGGAATAGCCATTGGGGAAGTGTGGCAACTTCTGCAGCAGAACTTTCTAGCAATCCAGGAAGACTTCTAATTTGGAAGGTCAAAACTTCCAAACACAAGATCTGGATCTATTATCTCTGGGATTAGGTCAAGGAAGTGTCTTCTTCTTTAGCTGGGTTCTGAGTATCTGGGATTTGATATTTGAAATCCAACAAGTCTGCAGAAAGCCAGGGGATACTGTGTTCTTTGTTAACCCTGTCTGTCCCTGAAATCACAGAAGCACTAAATTACTTTTTTGTTTGTTTTTTGTTTTTGATACCAGGGATTGAACTCAGAGGGCCATATCTCAGCCCCCCCCCCTTTTTTTTTTACATTTATTTAGACACAGGATCTCACTGAGTTGTTTAGGACCTCAATAAGTTGCTGAGGCCTGCTTTGAACTTGCAATCCTCCTGCCTCAACCTCCTGAGCTGCTGAGATTACAGGTGTGTCCATGCCCGACTAAATCTGTCTTTGTAGGTCTAGCATGAAAAGAACTGGAGATAAGTAGACCCCAGTCCCAAGTCAAACCCAAGCAAGAGCCAGAGAGTATAAGACTTTTGACCCATTTCAGGAGCCCTTGCTGCTTTTTGGGTGATGAAAGTGGTTCCTCATATACACCCATATCTTGTCATCCCGCTCCAAGAATCCCAGCCTCTGGTCTTCTTAGGGCTTCAGGGTACCATTCCCAGCATAGCTGCCACAAGGAGAGTGGGAGGTATGAATTAAAAGTTCACATTCACAGCCCTTGTCTCTGCAGCTTTCGTGGCTCTCTCTCTCTCTCTCTCTCTCTCTCTCTCTCTCTGTGTGTGTGTGTGTGTGTGTGTGTGTGTAAAACACTGGAGAGAAAGTGGAAGCTCAGAGATTGTCACTATTCATTATATCTTAGGTTATGCTACCTTCTCAGATCTAGCAGCCCTTTGCTACTGAAATTGTGTGAGTGTTCCTAGTGCCCTACATCATGAAGGAGAGTAAGCTTTTCGGGATTCCAAGTATCTGAGCGCTCCGTACCTTTCTCTAGCACCCTCGTTAGTGGCCCCCAGAACTCCCATCCTCCATCCTCCATCCCATTAGGGCGTTCATCCCCCATAACCTGGGGAAAGAAGGTGGAAATCCAGTGAGCTGAGTATCATTATTGAACTACAATTCCCATAAAGCTTGGGGCGCCAGTCACAGTAGAGAAAAAGACCCCAGAGCCTTCTGGGAGTGGTAGTCCTAGGCTAGAAACGCATCTGCGAGGCTGGCAGAGGCACCAAGCCAGAATCCTGGTCCCCAAGGTCAAGGAAGGGAGGACGCTGAGGGCCAGAAGCCTGGTCCTGGGCTCTGAAAGCCAGAGGACCCCGGACTTTTCTTCCGGGGATGCTGGAATGAAGTTCTCCGTAAGGCGAGCACCCTGTGACGTCATGGAGAAGTAGGCGGGTCTCCCTTTGTTGCAGCCCAATCAGAAGCAGAGTTGAGATTCTCCGCGGAGGCCCAAGTCCTAGGAAATATTTTTTTGGAATTAGGATCTCGGAAGAGGACGTGGCAGGAGTTCCTGGTGGAACCGGGAGCTCCCGTGACACATACCCCTTTCGAAAGCTGTCGACTTCACGCAGCCAAACTGTCCCTCACAAAACCTGAGTTACAGTCGTGGGAAATATTAAGGCAGAAGGAGGCGGCACCGGGTTCCTCACAGTCTGAATGGGATCCTGAGCGAATCCTGGGTTTGAGGGCACAAGTCAAGGATCAAGGTCGGAGAGGGGCTAGTTAATTAGGGTGCCTCGCGTTTAGGGCGCTTTGGGGCTCCGTTTCCTGAGAAGGTGCACCCTGAAAATAAGAGGTCTTAGCCTTGGGCAAGGGTGGACAGGAGGGACAGGAGGGTGGCTGGGAGTCTTGCATACATTCGTGGGGTCCCCAGGGTAAGGGATCTGGAGTGTACTTTGGTCTTGAGGGAGTTTTGAGAACATGTGGGAGAGTCTGATATATTGAAGCTGGACATGGACTTTTCAGCTTGAGGTGCAACAGGGTTTGGGGGCTTGGGTGTGTCTGAGTGTTGATTGGCTTGAGGTTGGGAGTTCAGGACCACATGAACTGTGGGGGAGCTGTGGATCCGATGGATTGGCAGCTTGGAGAGTCTGTATGGGTTGGGGGTCCAGTGTTCTAGTTTGGTTATCTAAAGATCTCTCAGGATGCAGAGCCCCTAAATTTGAGCTTTTCTGAATTGGGATTAAATTTCACACTTCTTAAGTCTTTGGATGAAGGATATAAAACTTCATCTGGAGATTTCCTGAAGCTTCTCCTTTCCCATTGGGGAGACTGTAGACATGGAGTTCAGTGGGTCCCCTAAGATAGGCTTTGGTTTCTCTCCATTTAGCGTCAGCTGCGGTTTGGGGTGAGAGGACCCTCCTGGAATTTTCTCTACTGAGTGCTCTGGCTTCAATGGGGCCGTGTTTTGCCCTCCCATTGGCTGCACTGGCCTGCTTCCTGCTTCCAGCGGGCTGCTGTGTCATATGTGACACTCGTATTCTTGCGGCTCTAAAGTCCCTGGAGACGGATTACCTGCCTAAACTCATGGGTCCTGATGAAGTGAATCGCACGTATGCTATGATAGTGCGGACCGTGAAGGGATTCTCGGATCTACCATATACTAAGCAAACCTATATGGGGGCCATTGGTGAGGGCAAGGTGGAGCTGAACTCCTGGGTCCTGGGCCCTGGCTTAGGAGGGGCTGGGTCCAGGATTTCTAGGGCTAGGGGTGAAGGGCCTGAGTCAGGGTATCCTGAGTTCAGGAATGCAGAAGGCTTGCATGCAGATTCCAGGGGTCTCCCAGAGCTAGCCAATATTGTTTCTCTCCCCCTTATCTAGCAATTTTATGTAAAGAAACCACAACTCCCTGAAGGCAACTGTGTCCATGGTCTTTTAATCAGTCCTATTCTTGCCCAGTAGCCTCATAGGTACTGTAGCTTGTACTAGGAGACAAGACTATGAGACAGTAAAACTGGAATCGGGTTTTATATCCACCCATAGGTGAGAAAAGATATGAAATGGTGATCACGAGTTTCCTGGAGAATCTGAAAAACATCACAGAAAGTAAAACAAAAGGTTAATGACTGAAAGGCTGGGAAGGGGGGTCCTGGGTTTTGCAGGGAAGCCATTGCTAGTGATACCTACCCTGGGGATGTGATGCGTGGCTCTGGGGCTAACTGCCTAGTTCAAATTCTGGCTCTGCCACTTCCTACCCATGTGGCCCTGTGCAAGAAACTGGGCAGTTTCCTCAGCTCTACACTGGACAGCATCACAGTGCCCTCCTCCCTCAGCTCCTGGGAGGATTAGATGGATTGATACCTGTGCATTGCTTAGCCCAGTGACTGGAACTGTGTGAAGGGCTTGATTTCTGTAAAAAAGGGGAATGCCCCTCCAGGTGGCACATTCCCTGTAGCCCCTGGTGCTCAGGAAGATTAATGTAGGAGGATCATTTGAATCCAGGAGTTCCAGACTAGTCTGAGCAACATAGAGAGACTCCCTGACAAAAGAAAAAAGGGGAGGGAGTGCCATGCTTCATGACCAGAAACCCACTGCCTAGTCTCCCCAAACCTGCCTTTTCCACAGGGAAGCAGAGCGTTGAGAACCTGAAAGAGATGTTGCGCCTCGAAAAGATAAACTTTGCATTCCACGCTTCTATGTTTCAAAAAGAAGGTGAGAGAAATCAGGGCTCCTGGACCCTAGCCTCTCTACCCCCCATTTCCCAAAACCGACTGTCCCTCTTCCCCATCCTGTCCTCCTGCTGAACCCTCAGGGGGACTTCTTTCAGGTCCTTCTCTGGGAAATAAGAACCCTCAATTCAGCTGTCCCCTAACTCCCTCTCCCCTCCATTTAAAAGTCTGATTTGTTCCTTCCTCTTTCTTCTCTCTTCTGAGGCAGATTATTGTTCCAACAAATGTGGTGAGTGCAGACAGCAGAAGCTATTCTTCTACCCTCATCCATGGCCCATGATACCCATCTTCCCCCCTCCCCTTTTTGGATGTGCATTCGAAACATCTGAGAGGTTCCTTGGTTTCCAGTCATCTTTCTGCAGCTTGGATTTTGCGGGTAGCAGGTGTACTCCATTTGGACTCTTAACTGACCTTGGAGGGTTGATCTCCTAGGAACCTGGCCCAGTAGGGCCCCAGCCCTTCAGCCCTTTGCCTTGCCCTCTCTTTCAGACCCACCTCTTAGTGGGTGAATACAGCCTTGACCTTGCCCCTCCAGGCGTCATGTTTCAGTCTTTGATATGGTGCGACTACTGCAGTAAGCAGATTCAACTTTGTAAGAAGAAGACCGAAGAATGTGGGGGTGAGAGCTGGACCCGCTGGGGGGTTGGTGGGAGAGGGATGGGGCCACAGGAGGGACAGTCCAGAGAGCTCAGGATGCAGACGGCAGACAGGGAAGGGCCTGGCCCAAACAGAGTGGAGACTGTTTGGGGAGGGTTATGACCTCAGAGGAAGCATCTCACAGTCATGCCCTATCCTCAGATCGTGTTGAGGAGATCCATGAACACGAAGCTTTAAACTTGAACTGTTTTCTCGATTGGCACAAAGAAGCTGTTGGCCTCACGAACTACGTCTTTTACAGGGTGGGGCCCTCCAACTCCTGTAACCCTTAAACCCCAAGTCCCTCAGGTGGGTATGACCCCCTGGTCCCTGGATGCCCTGGCCTGCACCCAACCCTCATGGCCTATTAGGTGAGGTCCCTCCTGACTCCCAGGCACCCCAAGCCCTTTTCATCTATGCCCTGGATTCCTGCTCCCGGCATTGAGTCCCCCAACCCCTAAATTCCCCAGGCCTCTGTAATATTCTTGAGCTTGGGTCTAGGTTTGGGAGAACGATTCTGAGACCGAGCTGTACAGAGGGAAGGATCCAGTCTTTAATAGGCCCTCCGCGTCTGTGAACGATAGTGGCAGGTACCGCTGTGAGCTGGGCACTGTTTACAACAGGCCTTCCACGATCATTCATTTTCTTGTCACAGGTAAGTATTGGGGTGCAGCTCCTGGCCCTGGGTCCCATGTATGGGGGGGTGTAAATTTCGGTTAGGGTGTGCCTCAGGCCATGGAGGTATGGCTTCTCAGCTGTGCTGTGGCTTCTGGCTGCAGGGACAGGGTCCCTTGGCTTTTGTTTCTGCTGGAGGGCCTGGATCCTGGGGCAGGCTTGCCCTGACTCGCTGCCCTGACCACTCATTGCCACTCTTCTGTCAGTGCTTCCCCGTGACCTGCAGGGCTGGACGCCAACGGGTGAATTCGCCCCGGCTAAGACGGAGGAGGGGAAGAAAGAAGTAACCCCGAGCCCAGAACCGGAGACCACGACTGCCAAGCACCTGGAGGTTAAGAGTATGCTGAAAGGGCGCATCTATGGCCTGCTTATCTGCTTACTTATAATCCTGATAGCAGCCATTATCTTCTGGTGAGTCACCCTGGAAGGAAGGCAGAGCTTAGAGGGAGAGGTGAGGCTTCATATTGTCCAAACTCAGCTTGCAGAGCCATTGAGTGACTTCTTGAAGGTAGGGGGAATTACAATTTGGTGGGGCTTACTTAGGTGAGCCAGACTTTGATGACTGTCAGATTTGGTGGGGGACGCTAATGCAGGTGTCTCTCAACCACTACCTATCTAACAGGACTCCATTATTTGCAATCCCCACCCTCTATCAGGCTAGTCACTCGGAAAAGGAAGAAAACTAAACCAAAGTCCTCACAGGCCAGCATTGATAGTAAAAGTTCTAAGATATCAAGGAAAATGTCTTCAAAATTGCAGAAGAAATAAAGATTTGTCTTATCTAAGTATCTGTTTCACTCCTCTGGACAGATCCACACTTTGGGTTCCCTGAGAGGTCTGGAGAATTGGTCTTGCCTCAGGGAGGAGGGTCTGGAACCTGGGTCCCTTAGTCCCCCTGGAGGGGCCAACAGACTGTGATAGAAGAAGTTGCCAGAACTGGCAGCCCCCAGTCAAGAAACAGGGCAGGACCTGCCCTTCCAAGATCCTCCCCAACCCCCAGCCTAGTCTTGTGGTAGGTCATCTCCTCCCCGTTCTTCCTGCCAGGTTTCCTCTCACCTTTTCCTGTCCCGGAACCCAGAGCTGGGAGCTGGGGCAGAGGCAAAGGCTTTACAAAAGCAGGAGCTAACAGAGGCCAACAGAGCCAGGCTCCCTGGGCGCCGCCAGACAGGCAACTTGTTCAGAGCCAGGGACTCACGGTGGTCGCAGACATCTGTACTCGAAGTCCTGTGAATCCAGGGCCTACATCTCTCTCCAGATTTACCTCTTCCCCATCCCCAGCCACCCAGCGCTGGCATTTGGCCTTCCCCATCCATGGCCATGCTATCTGGTGAACAAGAGAGGAGAGTAGAAATGCTGCTTTGGGAAGCTCTGCTACCTGCGGGCCTGTGGATCAGTTCACTCCCTGGAAGCAGCTGCCCAGTGAGGTCTGCTCTGGCCCAGAGCTGCCTGTCAAGTGCATAGCCACCCAAGTGGGACACCTGTCCCTGCCCCACCTGCCTTCCATCTGCTCCTGTTTGGGGCCCAGCCCCATGCATTGCTTCTTGTGAGGGACCCCAAGATACCTGACTCTGGTTTTAGTCCTGAATGGGCAAGGGAGCCTGGGGCAAGCTTACCTGGGCCCAGGGTGGGAGAGGTGGGCCCAGGCACTGGGACGGGCCACACAGAGCAGGCTTTGATCTGGCTTCCTTCCTCCTCTCCCTTCTCACCTTTTGGAAATGGCTTCCATGGAACTGGCCTTTATTTATTTGAGCTCACTCTTTTCTTGGACCTCTACCCACACCCATCTGGGTCCTCCCTGGGTCTATCTTTTCTGTCTCTGCTTCCCTCCTCCTTGGCCCCCATCTCAGTGTCTGCTTGCCTTTCTGGGTGACTCTCCTGCGTCTCTGTTCATGGGTGACTCCCAGGTCTTGTCTTCTGACACAGGGAGCCGCAACAGCGAGCCGCTGCCCCCACCCCGCCGGAAGTGGAATTGTGGCAAGTGGGCCCACTGAAGGCGGTGGGGGGAGCCTCGGGGAGCCGCGCCCAACGCATCTCCCAGCTCTTCGGGGGCTCTGGAACAGGGACTCCGGAGGGCGAGCAGCAATGGGTCAGCGAGAAGATGCCAGAACTGGCAGCCCCCATTGATGTCCGGCGCCACAGCGCCCCCAGGGATCCTCAAGATCTTTGGCTCTGGCCTGGCGTCAGGTGCCAACTACAAGAGAAGGCGGGGCTGCAGCATCTGAGCGCTGGGCGGCACCTGCTGGTTTCCCAGGGCCTACAGAGTGGTGCTTGGATTCCCGTGGGGCATGGCCCGGCTGGTGGCAGTGGTTGGAGGTGTCCCAGAGTGTCTCGGGATGGAGTCAGGGCCTTTAGGAGGCATTCCAGGCTGCCTTGCAGGAGGCTGAATGTGTAGGTGGCCAAAGCAGTGGTAGCTCCCCAGCGGGGTGTCGGTGGGTTCTTCCCACAGCCTAGCGAATTCCCAGGGATTCGGCCAGTGTTAGGGGAAAATCGAAGTTGGAGAGAACTAGGAGACGAGGAACAGGCCAGGACAATGTCCTGGAGGCTGTGCAGAGCCGTGGGTGGGCCTGCGGGGCCAGGGTGGAGTCTGAGGAACTGAGTAGGCCTGATCCTGAGGTGTTGGGCCTGGTGAGGCGTGGTGGCACCTGCTTGTGGGTCTGTGTGGCAGGAGACAGCTCAGGGAAGTAGGCTGAGGCGCTTCTTGAGGGTCAGGGCCTATGTGGGCAGAGCCTAGGAGGGAGAGGGACCTGTGTTTCTGGCAGCAGGCTTTGGATTAGGTGGCCTTAGGGGAAAGGAAGGGACTAGAGGAAGAGGCGTTTGTAGAGGTCAAGGAAGGTTTTGTTACATGGGGCCTGAAGCAGGAGGTGACCTCAAGGGTGGAACAGCACATGCCACATAGAGTGGCAGAGCCATGGGCACTGCGGGACAGGGCACTGGGAGTCCTCTAACTGCTGTTCTGTTCCTAAGTCAGCTGTGGACAGGGAAAGTGTTCTAGCGATGAAACTGATTGGCTTCATATTCAGGCTTGGATTTCAAACACTCCCACCCCCGATTTTTTTTTTTGTTGTTGTTACTGTGCATTGAACCCTGGGGGTGCTTAACCACTGAGCCACATTCTCAGCCCTTTTTAAATAATTTATTGAGAGACAGGTTCCTGCTGAGTTGCTTACAGCTTTGCTAAGTTGCAGAGGCTTGCTTTGAACTTGTGATTCTTCTTCCTCAGCCTTCTGAGCCGCTGGGATTACCTGGGCTCCAACCCAACCCACTTTACCTGTCAATTTAAGCAAAACTGTAGATGAAGTTTCAGGACCTGGCACATAATGGACTTATTAATGAATATGATTATAATCATCATCTCTGTGTCTCCAAAAGTGTTCAATGAGCACATATTGTGGGAAATACAGCAGGGTTATTAACAGTTGAGAGTCCCACCTCATCAGGTCTCACAATCTTTAGTGGGAAACACATTGGTTTAACTCATTAAATTCAATTCCATTGGACACTTACTATGTGTCATTGCCTATTCCGGATCTAGAAAAAGCCCAGTTATCTCTTGTATTCATTTATCTACTTCAACCTGGGCTGTTATGGAAGACTGTTCGAGATATTTTTTTTCTATCTCCATGAGGACAAGGTCATCTCTGTTATGCATGGCCTAGTAGTTCTGAGCTGAAAAAGGCAACATCAGTAGGAGATAAGTGGGAAGACTGTCTTAGGAACAGGAAACAGCATGTGCCAAAAGCTCAGTGTAGGATCCCACCTTACCCCTTCGGTGGACAATTCTTTCTTGGAGGATCTCAGCTCACTGTCTTTCCAGTCTTCTCCTGTTTCTAACTCCACAGGCACAGTCGCCCCCTGGTGGCAGCAACAGGAGAACCATATCTGGTCAGCGTCTGCAAGATGCCAAAGTGGCCAATACTCATCCTGAGTATGCATCCCAGGAATCATCCTGTGTCCAAGGATAAGGAACACTAAGAAAACTTGTCCCTGGAGCACAGCATGTAGGAGCTGAGACTGCAGGGTCTGTGGAGCAGGAACATGAATACAGGCAGCAGGCACTTGGCTGATCCCAGGGGGAACTGATGGCCATATAGTACCTGCAAATCCCCCGGGGATTTTGATCAGTGACTCAGTGCCTCATTCAGGCCCCCAGCAATCTCCTTTACTTCCTGCTGTTCCAGGGCTATCAGGATGCCTAGGTTATTGCCATCTGAGAGCCCTATGTCCCCCCTGTCATTGGAGAGTGATAAACCTGTAGTTCTCAGAATTCCTCTGGTTGAGGTAGCCTCAGGTCCTCTGGTAGGCAAGAGCGCAGCCAGGTTGCACAGGAGGAAATAGCGTGGTGAGTGTGGAGGAGGTGGAGGGGAGATGGCTGACAAGATTACACTGGAGGCACAAACAGGGCATGGTCCTGTCACTGAAAGTGGAGGGCAAGCTGTGTCTTTTCAAAGGAGAGTCCACTGCAGGAAGGAGACCCTGTTCAAGCATCCATTTCTAGAGGGAGAGTGACAGGAGAGTGTATGTGCTGGGGCAGGGATGTCCTTGACTGGTGTCTGGGGTCTTGATCTGGAGAAGCCTGAATTTCCTTGGTGGGGGAGTGGATGAACCCATTTGTAAAGGGTGATGGTATAGTGGGGGCATGGGGGTGCACACCTGTAATCCCATTAGCTTGGGAGTCTGAGGAAAGAGGATCACAAGTTTGAGGCCAGCCTCCCCAAATTAACAAGGCCTTAAGCAATTTATCAAGACCCTATCAAAAATAAAAAATGAGGGGCTGGGGTTGTGGCTTAGTGGTAGAGCACTTGCGTATCATGTGTGAGGCACTTACTTGGTTGAATCCTCAGCACCACATATAAATAAATGAATAAAATAAAGGTCCACTAACAACTAAAAAAATGTATTTTTTAAATGAAAAAGGGCAAGGGATGTGGCTCAGTGTTACAGTGTCTCTGGGTTCAAGCTCCCAACCACACACACACACACACAAAAGGTGATGAATTACAATGGAGCAATTTGACCATTGTTGATGCAGGCAGGTGGAAGAACTCTTCTATTTGGGTGACAATAGGAAAAGTTGAGTGTTAGGTTTATTTTAGAAAGGGAGCACACTGCTTCCATTTTACAGAATGGAGGGTTCTTGGGAATGCATCTCTTCAGGGAGTGGATGAAGCAGGAAGCTTTCTCTGAGGCAGAGCTCCTGGAGGCAGGTGTTTGAAAGTATGATTATTACAAGAGCCACCTACGGAAATCTCTAGGTGTCCCCTGTAGGGAGGGGCATAGTGAGAACCTCTGTTTATGTTGTGGGCGTGTCTTCGGAGTTCTCCTACATGTGAGTGGGGGAAATACAAATTGTTGGAGTCTGTTTCCTTGTCAAGGGATGGGAATAATCAAGAGAATGCACTGTAGAAAGGGGTCACCTTGGAAAGGCACCTTCAGTCTAGGCAATGGAAGACCCGTTGTTTAAGGTTTATTACCTTTGTTTAAGGCTTCTGCCCTTCACAACAGGGAACCCTCTCTTCTAGAGTCCACTCTCCTGGTCTTTCTAGAAGAGGTGTTACTTCTGCCCTGGGTGTTCAGAACACTGAAGGAACTCATGCTTCATCTAGAGCAAGCACTCATTAACTTTCCTTCAGAGTTTCTGGAGAAATTCTTGTTGGGGGTTTGCTCTAGGGAGGTCCATGTTTAATGTTTTTGAAGAACCCTGCAGGGACTGGAAGGTAGGATCCAGAATTCTGCATAGTTATGGCAAAGAATATGATGAACAAGCTACCAGAAGCTCAATACTCCTCCACTGCCAGAAAGATCAGGATTTTGGAGACTGCCTCTAGAGCCAGCAACTGTTCTGAGTGTGTGCTGGGGATTGAACACAGTACCCAGGGGAAGCTCATTCAGTGTGAATTAGCTCTTCCTCTGCTCCCAGGTTCTGGAAATGCTGGGGCAGTTGTGAGCAGGACTAAAACTCTCCAACCCCTTATGCCTAGAGGAAAGTTTTGAAATATTATTTTCATTCATTCTTTCTTTTCCTTCCTCCTAGAGAAGACAGTCTAAAACATGGGAGAGGTGGGAGGAATAGCCATTGGGGAAGTGTGGCAACTTCTGCAGCAGAACTTTCTAGCAATCCAGGGAGACTTCTAATTTGGAAGGTCAAAACTTCCAAACTCAAGACCTGGATCTATTATCTCTGGGATTAGGTCAAGCAAGTGTCTTCTCCTTTCGTTGGGTTCTGAGTATCTGGGGTTTGATGTCTGGAATCCAACAAGTCTGCAGAAAGCCAGGAGATACTGTGTTCCTTATTAACCATTGTCTGTCCCTGAAAATCACAGAAGCACTAAATCTGTCTTTGTGTAGGCCTGGGATGAAAGGATTTAGAGATACCAAGACCCAAGCAGGAGCACAGGGTCTGGCCAGAGAGTATAAAACTCGACTCATTTCCAGAGAGCTTTTGCTGCTTTGGGGGTGATAAAAAAAGCTTCCTCAAACACAGCCAAATCTAATCATTCCCCTCCAAGAATCCACGCCTCTGGTCTAATTACAGTTTCAGGGTACCATTCCCAGCGAAGGTAAGACAGGGAGGAGAGTGGGAGGTATAAAATTCTACATTCCCAATGCTTGTATCTACAGCTTTCCTGGCAGTGGGTGTGCATAAAACAATGGAGGGAAGATGGGATCTTGAGTTTGTCATTACTCGTTATATTTTAGGTTTTGCTTCCTACTCAGATCTGGCAGCCCTTTCGCTGCTGAAACCCTGTGAGTTTCCCTGAAGCAGGAAGGAAAGCAAGGAGAGCGCTTTCGGGATTCCAAGGGTGGGAGCGCTCCATACCTTTCTCTAGCACCCCCCATTAATGGCCTCAAGAACTCCCATCCCACTGAGATCTGGGCGTTCGTTCCTTAACCTGGGAGGAGAATGTGGAATTGAAATGAGGAGAGAGAATCATTACTGAACATCAATCGCCATAAAGCTTGGGGCGCCAGTCACAGTAGAGAAAAAGACCCCAGCGCCTCTGGCAGTGCTAGTCCTAGGCTAGAAATGGCCCCTTCCTTATCTTTGAGGCTGGCAGAGGTACCAAGCCAGAATCCAGGTCCCCAGGGCCAAGGAAGGGAGGAGGCTGAGGGCCAGAAGCCCGGTCCTGGACTCTGAAAGCCACATCGTGAGGATGGACTTTGCTAGGGTGGATGCTGGAATGAAGGTGTCTGTAAAGGTCACCGTCCCTGTGATGTCATGGAGAGGTAGGCGGGTCTCCCATGTGGAGGCCAATCAGAAGCAGAGTTGAGATTCTGGGCGTGGCCAAAGATAGCCCTAGGAAGTACTTTTTCGGATTTGGCCCTCCAAAGGAG